TCTCTCCTTCTCGCTCGCTCGCTCACTCGCTTACTCTCCCTCCTCGCTCGCTCCCTCTTCGCTCCCTCCTCGCTCCCTCCTCGCTCCCTCCTCGCTCGAGACAGCTAGCTCGCTCTCCCTCCTCGATCGCCAGCTCGCTCTCTCCCTCCTCGCTCGCTCCCTCCTCGTGCTCGCTCGCTTCTTCCTCAATCGCTCTCGCTCGCTCTCTCCTTGCTCGTTCGCTCGCTCGTCGCTCGCTTCCTCCTAGCTTGCTTCCTCCCTCGTCGCTCGCTTCCTCGCTCTCACTCACACGCTATGGTCTTACTTGCTTCCTCGCTCCCTCGTCGCTCGCTCCTTGCTCGCTTGCTCTCTTTCCTGCTCGCTCTCTTTCGCGTGCTTACTCTCGCTCTCGCTCGCTCGCTCTCGCTCGCTCGTTCTCACTCGCGCGCTTACCGCTCGATCGCTCTCACGCACGCGCTTACTCTCGCTCTCGATCGCTCGCTTCCTCGCTCGCTCGCTCCTTGCTCGCTCCTTGCTCGCTTGCTGTCTTTCCTGCTTGCTCTCACTCGCGCGCTTACTCTCACTCTCGCTCGCTCGCTCTCACTCGCGCGCTTACTCTCGCTCTCGATCACTCGCTTCCTCGCTTGCTCGCTCTCACTCGCGCGCTTACTCTCGCTCTCGATCGCTCGCTTCCTCGCTCGCTCGCTCCTTGCTCGCTTGCTCTCTTTCGGCTCTCTCGCTCCTTGCTCGCTTGCTCTCTTTCTGCTCGCTCCTTGCTCGCTTGCTCTCGTTCCTCGATCGCTCGCTCGCTCCTTGCTCCTTGCTCAGTTGCTCGGTCGGTCGTTGAATCGCTTAGGAAAAAAAACACTTCAGCTCTTTTTCCCGCTCGCTTGGCCTCGAGGCCGTAGGGTCTCTTGGTCGGTCAATCCACTTAGTCGGCCCAGCCATTGGTCGGTCCGTCCGCCCGTTGGGTCCACCCGTCGGGTCCACCCGTCGGTCGGTCGGTCGGGCCTCACCACTCGTTGGGTCCACCCGTCGGGCGGGCGGGCGGGCCTCACCACTCCATCCGCCCTGCCAAGCCGCTAAAAGCAGGGTGAAACCAGATCACTCGGTCGGTCGGGCCCCCCCTCTGAGAGCAGAAAGAGAAGTGGCTGTCTAATATACGAACTGTAGGTAGTAACAGCATCAGGCTTGTCTAAGCCTAGGAACCAGATCACTCGGTTTCATGGGACCAGGACACTCAATCCCTGATAGGGCCGTTGTGGGCCGGTAGGAGTGTGTCAGTTGGTAGGGACTTTGTGGGAACAGGATACTCGGCCCCTGCTAGGGCCGCTGTGGGCCATTAGGAGAGCGTCAGTAGGACCGGGACGTTAGTCCTCTGGGCCGAGTTAGTCCATGATTAGAAGGTCTCTCACTGAGTTATTCTACCATTGGATATGAGAAGTCTCATTGTAGTATTGTAATCTGAGGTCGTGGGGCATGCGTTGCAGCAAGTTGCTTGAAGTTCAGGGTCAGACTCAGTTACTGGGTTGGTCGCTTTGAAAGGCATAGTTAGTTCATTTGTTATACTCTGCATTTGCAAGAGTATCCGCTGGTCTCCTACCTGTAAGCTAAGCTGGCTGATGCTGTGAGATACCCCCGGGTTGAAGTGTGAGGTCTCTGGCCTCTGTTTCATATTGTTAATGAATTGTGGATTGATATTAAAAAAAAAAAAAGAAAAAAAAAGGCATGGTGAAAGTTGGAGGAACGCGGGGGGGAAGGAAGGGGGGAAGGAAGAGGGGAAGGAAGAGGGGAAGACGAGGGGCGGGGGATTGGGGGAAGAAGCCGGGGACGAAGATGGGATGAAATGTGGGACGGAAGGGAGGGAGAAGGCGTGGGGAATGTGGGAAGGAGGAGAAAATGGCAGGAAGAACAAGAGGCAAGTAGGAGGAGGAGGAGAAGATGGCAGGAGGAGGAACTTCAAGATGGTAAGGAGCTGGAGTAGTAGGGGAAAGAGAGGGGAAAAGGAAGAGGAAGAAGATGACATGGTAAGGTTGTTTGTAAATGTGTGAGGAGGAGGAAGGAAGAACATGGCAAGGAGCAAGAGGGGGCATGGAGGAACTGGAGTAACGCGGGGGGGACGTGGGGGGGAAGGAACGGGGGAAGGGACAGGGGAAGGCGAGGGGCGGGGGATTCGGGGAAGAACCTCAGGGGGAAGAAGGCGGGGTCGAAGATGGGATGAAACGCGGGACGGAAAAGAGGGAGAAGGTGTGAGGAACCTGGGAAGGAGGAGAAGATGGCAGGAAGAACAAGAAGGCAAGTAGCAGGAGGAGGAGAAGATGGCAGGAGGAGGAACTTCAAGATGGTAAGGAGATGGAGTAGTAGGGGAAGGAGAGAGGAAGAGGAGGAGGAAGAAGATGGCATGGCAAGGTTGTGTGTAAATTTATGAGGAGGAGGAAGGAAGAACATGACAAGGAGCAAGAGGAGGCATGGAGGAGCCAGAGGAAGATGACAAGGTTGAGCGTGTATGTGTGAGGAGGAGGAAGAAGATAGTAGGACACCAACGATACAGGCCTACATCCCTTCACGCAAATGAAATAAAAAAAGCAAATCAGGCTGGGTTAAAGATTTAGTTATGTACCCTCACATGCATTCGAGGAAAATGACTGTACAACATAACAGTCCSGTTCAAGAAGTGTACTTCTCCGACACTTTAAAGACTGCATCTTCCGCTTCGTTATCGTCCTTGGCTCAATCCAAGGTTACTGGTCTAATTCTGTAACCTTCCCATGAGGAGGAAGAAGATGGCAAGGACACCGAGCAGACAACCAAAACATCGCTCTACGAAAACGAATTAAATAAAAGATATATGATTCAGGCAAGTTACAAACACATCTCCCCATCCAGGCAAGAAAGCGGACGAAATGAGTAAGACAACCCTTCAAGCGGTTTTGTTCTTAGAGAAAAATCCAATCTCRAACAAGATATGTTCTTTTTCGACCCTTAAAGGACTGTTTCTCCAATTTTGTTTTTGTTCTTGCCTGAAGCCACRAATATAGGGCTATGTCTGTAACCTTGGCTARGGAGGAAAACGATGCAAAGAAGACGCAGGATTCCTGTAAGTAACAAGACGAAATGAGAAAGACAAGTCATTCAAGTGTGTTTGTCCTTAGACAGAAATTCCATCTCGAACAATACATGTTCTTCTCCGACCTTTAAATGACTGTTTTTTCCATTTCGTTGCCATTCTTGTCTAAATCCAATTTATAGGGYTATATCTACAATTTTGGCCGAGGAGGAAGAACATGGAGATAAATTTTTCCATTTCACTATCATTGTTGTCTGAATACAAATTGCAGGGCTAAATATGTGACCTTGTMTGAGGAGGAAGAACATGGAAAGAAGATAGAGGATACRTGTCTTTATCAATCTACGAAAATGACATAATCAAAAGAAATCGGACAACTTATTAATAAAATTTTATATCCAAACATCCACGCAAGGTAGAGGAGGAAATGAGAAAGACAATCCATCAGACGTTTTGGTCCTTAGAAACCAAATTAATTTTCGGCCCTCGAAGCACTATATTTCTCATTTTGTTGTCGTCCTTGCCTGAATCTAAGGTTATAGGGCTATATCTGTAACTTGGGCTGAAGAGTAAGACAGTGGAAAGAAGACAAAGGATACATGCCTACATCAATATACGCAAATGACATAAATAACCCAATTCATGCACGTTTACAGATATCGCCCTGTATCCCTAGCTCCAACCAAGGAAGACGACGAAATAAGAAAGACAGTCCTTCAATGGTGTGTGTTTTCCGTTAGGCAACAATTCAGTCTCGTGGAAGAAATGTTCTTTAGCAAGACTAAAAGGATCTACACTCACATTAATCATTGAACAACATCCGAACTCTTCCTAGTGTGACTTTTTTTCCTCTATTTTGAAAAGTACAATCTATTATTTATCCTTAATAGGCACAACGTTGTTAAACACTAAAGGAAAATTTCCAAAAGAGTCCTTTGTACGTAGAATGTTTTTTTTAGATAAAAGAATATCCACATTCTAACACATTAAATCAAAATCCTAAAATTTTATTAGACAAATGTCGACTTCAAAAGTACAACACTTTATTAAGTAAGGTTAGCAGCGACGATCTACATTACAACGACATTCACGAAGCCTCTACGACGACGCTCCACTCTGTTTTCTCTCTCTCTCTCTGTTTGTACATGCATATTTGTTCTCTAAGCTACGACGACGCTCAACGACAACACTCGATCGTGGTCCTTTTTGAAATTCTCTTTTTCGCTCCCGACCTCGTAGAATCTTTCTCACAATTTGGGAATCTTGTGGCGGAGTTTTTTTAATTTTCGTGCTTTGGTCTCCAAGAAGTTAAATGTTGCGCATTCAATCTAGGCGGAAACCAGTTAAAGCGCAAGCGGTAGCTTGCCGTGCAAAATGTTTTGTTTTACCGGGTCGTGGCTCCCCGAAATTTTGGAGAGCACTGTTGGCGGGAAAATCGAAATTTTTAACGATGTTCTTGACGGGAATCCTAGTGGCCGGGCGTTCGAAATTATTTGTTTTACCGGGAGTCCTTGATCTTCGAAATTTTTGCCACTAACGGTCCAAAATTTCAACTTTTGCGAAAACTTGTGGTGGGATATTCCAAATTTTTAACAATGTTCTTGAAAGGGATCCCAGTAGCTGGGCTCTCCAAATTTTTTGTCGCTAACGGCTTAAAAATTCTACTTCTCCAAAATCCGTCGGCGAGAAACTCCAAATTGCGGACGATTTTCTTGACGCGGGTTCCACTAGGGGATGTTTTCATTTTATTTCAATTTCGTGTCCAAGAAGTTCACGCCCGTTAGCGACGCTCTTGTGGCCGTCCTCTGAGATTGGAAGTTTTTAAGTGAGCCCGTGATTGACAGTCGTGTCGTTGTTTAAAGTCTTTTATATTTGTTTTCTACTTTCTCGCCCCAACACCGAGTCTTCTCTTTTGTAGGCGACGCCATCGTCACTTCTAGACGTCGGATAGGTTGTTGTGTCATATCTTCCTGCCATGGATTCTTTCACCAAAAGACATACTCGTCTTGTTGTTAATATGACCACAACCCAAGGTCAGAGTAGTCGCAAGACTAAACATGTGAGGTTTTCAAACCTTTCTCAATGTCAGAAGAGTGTTGATGCCAAGAGTGTCAAGACGAAGATTGTCAAGTGGTTTCCGAACCTGCGTCAATATTCTACAAGCGGAGACGACAACCAGAACCCTCTACCACCGAAGCTCAGTGCAAATGGTGAGAAGACCACCAACGTTTGTTTGTTTCCGAAGCGCCCACGATCGAAGACGACAACAAGAATGGTTATTGCGCCTGAGCGAGCGACAAACATGGTGAAAGGTGTCTGCGCAACAAGCAAAACTGGGAGTACAATCCAGATAGAGCGCCCAAGGAAGCGTCAGTGCCCAAACGGTGAGGGCGAACAATCCAGAGAGATGGACAATGTACAAAACTCGAGCGAGAACTTTGTTGTGAAAGAAATACGCGACAACAGTATTGCGCAAGAATTACGTAATAACGACAATGAGGAGGAGGAATCGAGTGACGGCGATAACGAGGAGGAATCAAACGACGACGATGACGAGAAGGAGGAATCAAACGACGATGACGAGGAGGAGGAATTGAGCGAGGATGAGGAATCAGAAGACACAGACTCTGAGGACAATGAAGTAAARGACGCGTCAGAAGTTGATGTCAACATGTTYAGGAAGAGTCTATCTGGAAAACTTTTAGGAGAAGCGAAGCAGATAGTGGCACAGGAGGTGAGAAAAGGATTGTACAGCAAATCAAGCAAGAGCGAGAAATCTCCTTACAACTTGGGAAAGCGCGGCAGAAACGTACGTGTGTACAACAAGAAAGCGAACTACCACGTGAACATGAAGAATGTTGAAGTAATTCTCAAGGAAGATTGTTGCAAGGCCAAATGTTACTTGAAGTTCACGGTAGAAGATGTTTTCTACAAGCGAGAAGAAATTTGGGCGATGAAACAACCTGAGCAAGTCAACTTCCTTTTCGCAGAGATGAGGGTTGCGTCATATTTCTCGGATGATGGAGATGTAGAGGTGTTAAGAGTGACATTCAATGGCATAAAGGTTTGCACAAAAGCGTGGGGAAAGTTGTACGGATGCTCGACTACACATGTTGCAAGACTACGCAAAGACTTCAGAGACGGACTAGTGTTGTACGAGCATGCAAACAAATGCTCAATCAGATTATCTGCTTCATCACAACAAATTCTCGCCTGGTTGCATGAATATTTTCGATTTAACACTGAGAGTATGCCGAATAGCGACCAGTTTCATCTTTCAGATACTCTCCGACACAGAGACGTGTATGATTTCTTCAAGCGAGACTGCAAAGCGCTTTACATGAAGAAGACTCTTCCTTCCCGTTCCTGATTTATGACTATTTGGAGGGTTCACTGCCCCAAAGTTCTCATTCCTGCATTGAAGAGGTTCTCGGTTTGTTCCACATGTTTGAAATTCAAGACAGGTCGTTCACAGGCAACCAATGCGTTCGAATGAGGTGATGACAAAACCTCAATGCTTATTTTCTCTCTCCTTGTCTTCCTATTTCTTCTTCTTCTCTCTCTAAGCATTCTACTTCTCTCTCTCTCTCTCTCTCTCTCTCTCTCTCTCTCTCTCTCTCTCTCTCTCTCTCTCTCTTTACTTTACTTTTTACCATTTGTATTTACAAAATAATCATTTGTGTTTCGCCTCAAATAATAAGTTAAAGATAATGTGGTAAACGATGTATCTCATTAAAGCACGATAAGGTTCATTTTTTAAAATTCGGCATAACGCGACCGACTGTTTTGACTCATTGTTCAATTTGTGATACAGCTCGACTGACTGTGCCGACTTATAGCCCTATAAGTTGTTCTTTACAACAAAGTAGAAACTGGGATTCACGCATTCAAGAAAGGATTCTCATGAAACTCTTCTTCTTCTCTCCCTAAGTCTTTATATTCTTCTTCTTTTTCTTCTTCTCTCTCTCTCTCTCTCTCTCTCTCTCTCTCTCTCTCTCTCCAACCTTTTTAACATTTGTGTTTATTTACGATGAATTTGTGTTCCGTCGTAAACAGTTAGTTGTAGAAGATATGGTTAATGACGTTTCTCATGAAAGCACCTAAGTATTCATTCTTCAACGTTTGGCACAACGCGACTGATTGTTATGACTTACAGCCCTGTAAGTTGTCTATTTATACAAAAGTAGATGCTGCAATTAGCGCATTCGAGAAAAAATTATCATGACACTAAAAAAAATTTCCAGGAACAAATTCTATGATTTTCCGTTTTGAAGCGACTGACTGTTCTTGGTTACGTCCTTGCAGTCGACTATCTCTTAAAGATTATAACTTTATTAGTGATATCTTCGTTGTTCTGCCCGTACTCTTTGAGTTAATTAAGACAAATATTTTGTGGAAGAAAGAATTTATTAAAGTACGACACTTGTCTACTGACTTTTCTGAGTTAAAGCCTTTTAACACGTTGTGTGGTAATCGGCATAGTTTTTATTCTAAGTTATAGCCCTATTACACGTTGTGTGGTAATCGGCTTGGATTTTATTATGAGTTATAGCCCTTTAACATGTTGTGTAGTAATCGGTTTGGATTTTCAGGTGTTTATTCGGGTTTGGTCTCTCTTTATGAASGAGTCTTGACAGAGTATTCGCTTGTTTTGTTTTTTTGGCTGAAATATTCGGCAAGGCACTAGAGAAGCACTGATTAATGCAAGGAGAAGAGAGACMAAAACTCAGTAAGCATCGCCACAAGGCTTCCAGCCGACCGACAGAGTACGTCACAATGATCATCGATGGTATGGATCAGAGCAAGACCATACTGCCACACTTCACAAGGATTCAAAARGATTCAAAACTGAAAGAAGGGAACTTTGTGAAAGTTCACGTGGYCGGTGCCAAGGTGTTAGGATTTCCATCGTCMGTCTTTGCAGCTGTGTTSTTTGACAACTTCAAATCCGATTCTAATTGCATGCTAATTGTTCTTCATCGCCGGATTTCGCAACTTSCTAGACCATTTCCWAAAATTTTGTATCTCACACTTGATAACACTTCGAAAGAGAACAAGAAYAWATTTGTGTTAGCGTATCTTGTTTTATTAGTAAAGATGAGAGTGTTTAGTAAAGTTAAGTTAAACTTCCTTCTTGTGGGTCACACACACGAGGACATTGATCAGATGTTCAGCTGTTTCWCGAGARAGTTGGYTGTACATGATGCTTTCGATCTTTCTGAGTTGCAACACATCATTAGGGAGTCATACAAGGTAGAACAAGATCATGGCGTTTACGTTGAGAAGATGACGGAAACAATRGATTGGAAGTTGTACATTCAGGATCATCTACAAAATATCAATGATATTAGTTTCAATCAACCTTTCCGAATCAAGCGCAACGACGAYGGAGAGGTGCGCATTTGGAGCAAGCAATATCACAATTCGCAGTGGCAGCCGAATGACAGAGAAAGTCTGGACATCTTCAAGTCATAGCCAACAGGACAAGTTTAAGCTTTGCCAAAGCATGCAATCCGATCTTTGGAAGCCAGATTTCAGCTTACTTGTCGGGGTGAGGACAAGAGGCGTGACAAGGTCGGCAGCAGCGAAGGTCATGTTCGTAATCGAAAAACGGGASGGTCTTCGAAATTCAAGGTTAACGATKATGTACTTTCCATCGCAGCCTTGAAAGYCAATGTTCAAGGTTTGTCGAATTATGCTCAACCCCATAACATTGAATGGTGGAATAAGTTCATAGCAACGCAGGAAACACTCGACCTTGAGGACAAAAGTCTCAAAGAGCCTTTCACGTGGCCCTCTATCGAAGTTGATGTCAACAAACCAGGTGAAGAAGTTTCTTCAACGGTTACCGATGTCGGCTTCGATCAACGCTGGGATGATCTTTTCCCTCCGGAGAGACCCATCTACATCGGTGCTCGCAAGAGCAGACAGTTCCGAGAGGACAGAGACGGAAAGTACGACGATCTCGAGGTCAACACTTTCATCGCACTACGAGCTTGTCCGGGCAGGAAAAGAGAGACAAACCTTACCACATTGGCAAGGTTGTCGAGCTGCTAGCAGATAAACGATTCAAAGTCGCTTGGTTTGCACAAAGTAAGAAAGGAGAGGGTTACTATTCTCATTTCAAGACAAATCCTCAAGGAAAAACTACGAAAGAGCCTTCCGAGGACATCTACGATCCCGATCCCGCCTTCCCCGCGTCTACGTTCTTTGTTACAACTTCCAACTGAAGACAAACAAAACCTTGTTTTCGCAGACCCGACAAAAGATATCTGAGATGTTGAATTCAATGGCAACGGAGGATGTTGACTAGGAAAACCTTCCAGGAACCGTTTATTCAGGAGGTTCTCAGATGGACATCGCGATTGAGGTCATTTCTGGTTCCGCATCAGAGCAGGTTTCATTTTGTCGTTGTTCGCCAGATTGTCTGAGTTTAGTCGTAAGTGGTTATTAAACACATGCAAAGTTTTGTACATCAGCAGGTCGTAGTTCGCTTGACCCGTTAAGCCAGGCATGTGTGGCCAACCTTTCTTGTTTTGGCGATCTTTTTCATTGCATTTCGCGCACTTTTAGTTTTCGATTTTGAGAATTTAGAAATTGACTAAAAATTTGCAGTTCGAGTTTCAACTACTCGATTAAAGTTTTAGAGCTTTAAGTTCATTGAGCTTTGGCAACAGATTTTCAATGATGTCGTATGCGTTTTCAGGGCTTCAAACGCTTGATAGATTACCTACCAAAATTTTCTGGACTTTCGGGTTTCTTGCGTTTAGGCGAAAACAGTGATCATTTTTGAAACGTTTTTTTGTGCCCTAAGCCCAACTATCGATTGACAAAGCAATTGTTTCACATTTTCGAACGAACTTCTAGTTTTTAACTTATAGGGCTATAAATTSCTCAGCTTTCGATTTTCGATTTTTAAATGTTGTATCATGCGTTCATAGGGCTATTAACACTTGACAGATTACCGACTCAAATTCAGACGTCAGTCGCTCATTTTCCAACACTCGTTATAGGCCTATAATTCGAAAAGTATTGCTTTCGAATTTCAAGAGAATTCCAAGGGTCAATTCAAATTATGGTGAAATTCGATGTTTTTGTTAAAATCCGGAAATTCACGTTATAGGCCTATAAGGTCATGTTTGGATTTCGTTGAATTTTCATGCCGGTCGAATTTGCTCAATCGTTTGCGCTCGACTTTTGAAGATTTGAAATCTGTTCGCGTTGCATGTTTTTTGCTTTGCTCCGGATCCCGTGAATTTACTACCTTCGTTTTCATGCTTCTATTTAAGTGCAAAAAAACGAGGACTACCGACCCATCTGTTCGGCTTACTAAGTTTTTGCTAAGTTTTTGCAAAAAAAAACTGCATTCACTGTACACTACTGGCTGGCCGTTTCTACATCCACCCAAATCTCCATATATTGGAGACCTTTTCGCCAGCCATGACCAGGGGCCGCCTGTCCTCTTTGAAAATGGGCTCATTTTTTCAACTGCATTGTCGACCTCGAATATGTACTGGTTTTGAGTTTTTTTTTTAATGACATTTGAACACGAAACAGCGCAAAATCGGACAACACGCAATACTTCATATTCCTCGGCTTCGTCGTCATCTCTACCAACTTCCCTCCCATCCGTCTCGTCCTGCCATATCACCAACTCACGGTGGTTCCGTGGAATTCCATCGCCCTGTATTGGCCCCTCACGCCTTGCGGAAATTGTCGGCGACGCGGCAACCAACGAGCCCCAGAAACTAGAGGGCCTAACCCAAACGCGCGACGACAGACGCCATGTGTCTGCACCTAAAGGTCCGACTCATTGGGAACACAACTAATACGGGCGGGCCTCTCCCCGAACCGCCGCCCTCAAAACAGACGGATCGGACAGCCTTGAATGTACCGGGCATGCCATCTGCCTTATGCTGCACGACATCGAACGCCATCAGACCGGAAGTAATGCGCCCCCTTTGCTCTATTGCATCTATGCCCCTTTGCTCTATTGCATCTATGCCCCTGAAACTTTGCCACAGGAGATCTCAGTTCCGACCTGAGACTCCACCCCCACTCTCCCAAAAATCCTTGGCACACCCGTTTTCGCACTTCCAGGCCCACATCCCAGTCCGATCAGGAAGTCGCGTTGGGCGTCACAAGGCGGGGCA